CCCTGGTAGCACAAATTTATATTCACATTTAATAAGTTCTTCCAGATAGCATCTTAAAAGTAAGAAAAGCATAAAATTACTTTTCGCCATGCAATCTACATCTTTTTCTAAAGAATAAATAAATGTATGTAAATAACTCTATAATAAGAGTGCACCTAAATATAATGCAGTTTTATCCACTCATTATACATTCAAACTTCTATAATGCCTATGAATTAATTCAGCGGCTATTCAATAAGCATAATGATAAAACTGCATTTCCTTATAAAATAAAAAATACATTCAGCATTAGATAATATATATTTTTTTCCATAGACTAAACTGAGTGCTCTAAATTGATGTGTGGGTTTTATCTAATTTACTTTTAATATGATTTGAGTATTTATTTGTACATAGACAAATGTGTACATGTCGCAAAACAATTGTCTGTTAAATATAAAAAGTAAAAATTAGGGAAATAGACATTTGTTCTAACTAATTGTTTGTAAAAAGCAGCTCGTATTAGATTTTTGAATATCATAAAAATCAAGTGCAATAATATTTAGTGCATTAGGTCATAAATATTATAATTTTAATCTTGATATACTAATTTTAATAGAATTTCCTTACTTATTTTTATTAAACTTATATTTAATTTCTTCAAAATCAAAGCTCACACAAAAATTTCACTCAACACAGATACAAGGATGTCAATGAATGGCTATACCTTTCTACTGTATCAAAAATCGGGCCTTGAAAAAGCTTTTGCAGCTTTCTGTCATTCTCTTTCCATAGTGTTGTTGAAATATGAAAACTTTTAATTGAAATGTCAGTAACAGAAACACACAAATAAGTTTTAAAAAACTTAAGTAGACCAACATTGAAAAATTTTTCAAACTATCAGAGGAATTTGAGTAGGATATTTTTAAACACAATAGTAAATTAAGTAGAGTTGACAAAAAAGAAAGAAAAAGAGAGAAAAAAGGCTGATTTAAAAAAAAAAAAAAAAAATAGGGGAGATGTCACATATGCTTAGTAATAAAATGCATTCATTTTAACTAAAAAAAGAGATTGAATTTAATGAATAACATGAAAAAGAAGCATATTTAATATTATAATAATCAGGGGTAATTGTGACAGACCATTAAAAAACCTGCAGATTTTATGTGCAAAAACGTATTGTATTTAACAGAATTTTTTGAAATAAGATTTATAATTAAATTACCTACCAATGAAGATTATCACACTTTTTTTATAGTAACTGATTTGAGAAAAATCTTCGTTCTTACAAGAATCGTGATGTTTGATTTTTAAAATCACGTGAATGTGAATCACAATATTGGATTTAAAAATAGAGTGAATATGAATCGGGATATTGGATTTCAAAAAATATGTGAATACAAATCGCAATTGCAGCTTTTAAATTACATAAAAATACGAATATTGATATTACAAACGCGTGAATACAAATCGTGATATTGGACTTTGAAGAAAACGCGAGAATATCAATTGCTACATTGGATTTTAAATTCGTGTAAATATGAATCGTGTTACTGGATTTTAAAAACTCGCGAATATGAATAGCAAAGTTGATTTTAAAAACGCGTAAATACAAATTGCAACATTGGATTTTTAAATCACGTGAATTCGAATCACGATGTATGATTTTTAAACCACGTGAATACGAATCGCAACATGTAAGTTTTAAATCAGGTGAAAACGAAAATCGATGCTTGATATTTAAATCTCGTGAATAAGAATCATGATATTAGCAGATTCCAATGCAGTTCCAACTATTCAAAATGGCGAAGATCTGTCGAACAAAAAGAATCATATTGGCGGATTTCTACTGAATTGTGGCAGATTTTGTAAGCGTATTGTTAGCGAGAATTAGCAAATATTTCAAACTTTGAATTTTAGATTGAGAAATTACGGGGAAACTTCGTTGGATAATAAGTATTTGATTAGCTAAATTCTGAGAACCAATGGTCTTGAGAAACGCAGGAATCCACTATATTCCCAGAAAAATTACATTTTTAAGAACAATATGAAAAATCCAGAATACAATCACCCCTGAATAATCCTATAAACAAAATGTGTTCTGATAATCTATTTTAAGTATAAAAATAATTTTAGATAATATAATTATGTTTAAATAAATGACATATAATAACTTAAAATTAGAGAAATACATAAATTATTATTCAATAAGAAGCTAAAAAAAAAAAAAAAAAAAAAAAAAAAAAAANTGCATTGTATAGATACATAAAATTTAGCAGGTGATCTAACTATACTAGAATCTAAGAATTTTTGTCTTGTCAATTTTGTAAAAATAAAAAAATATTACTTGTCAGTTTCAATGAAGAAAAAAAAAGATGATTTCTTAAGATATTAAGATTATTATAATTTACTAAATGTAATCAAAATAAAAAATTCAAAAAAAGTATATAATAAATTTTTTAATAATTTTATTGGATTTTTTTAACGTGGAGTTAAATGACCTTAAAGCTGAAGACCACAACATTTCTCTAAGCATAAACAACATCACAAACTCTAAATATGTTATAAACTAAGTCTATCAAGAAAAAAAATTAGAAAACAGTATTATACACAAAACTGACAAAAGATAAAAAGGGAAATCACTGAGGTACATCAGAGACCTTTGTTTACACGAAGAATACAAACTTAATGATGAATATTAAATAAGTTTCAATCATGAATTTTTTAATAGTTTCGAAAGCTTTCATAATTGCTATAAATAAAAATTAAAATTCATAGAAATTACAGACAATTTATGGTAATTGACATCCTTGAAAAACTACTATTTGCAATTACAAAATAAAACAAAACACATTCTTGCTTATTATTTCACATAAATTCCTTAACAATCTGACTATTAACACAAATATGGCACTCTATCACTGCCAATAAAAATAGTTATTTAAAATAATGTGCAAAAACTGCACAAACACAATGCATATCTTTAAATATGAATGAATTAAATCATACCATTTAACTTCCAAACTCGAACTCTGTCCGAGATACAATCATTTCGCTGTCCTACACAGAAAACTCGTTTTTCCACAAGTTAATGAGATACTGCAGGGAAATTTTTGCACAAATTTACCCAAGTAGCACATTAGTTAAAGAGAGAAAAACAAAATACTTTAAACTCTTTTTCAAATTGAAATAATAAATTCCTCAACTCACAAAGAATTCCTACTAAATAAAAGTTCAATATTTAATACCTTAAAGAAGTGAATTTATTTGAAAGCAGGAATTAATCACACGAAAGAAAAAAAAATTTATATCGTAAAACAGAAAAGTAACAGCTATGGATTTGTGCATTATTACACAATGATAGGTGCACAAAAATAAAACACAAAAGAAAAAAGAATAACAGTTGTAATATTAAGCATAGCTTTATAAATACTAAAAAATAAACCATATCCCCTATGAACAAATTATACACAGCTATAAGAAAACAAAAAAAAAAAACATTAAAAAAATAAAATAAAATGCATAAATAAAACAGGGTATTTTTAAAATTAAAAAATAATACATACATAAACTATTACATAAATATGCTAGACATACTTAGTAATTAGCTATATATACCTTCAAAAATAAAAATATCTTAATTTTAATTGCTTTTTCTTTCGTATCAACTAGTTATATTAACCAAACCATTAGAAGTGTTTCATCGAATTTTACCGTACATATTTTTTTTAAAAAATGCAATTAAAAAAATACTTATAAAATCAAAATATGACAATCAATTTAAATACAGAATGATAACAGACACAAGAAAAAGTTATCACTACATTTTAGAGACAAAGAAATATCAATCAAAGAAAATTATTGGACTACAACAATGAAAATATTTGGGGGGAAATATTTTAGAAAATTAAATTATTTTACAGAAAAAAATCAATATGTATTTGAGATGAAGAAAAAACTAATGACTATTCATGTATAACATGCACATAGTGAGAACTAACAATAAAAAAGAAAAAATTATGATGCAAAACATTTAAAATGCATAAAGGGAGAACAACATGTAAAAATGCTATAAAAATTTCATCTATATAGAAAAATAAAGGGGTTGTTTTAATGTAAAAAAAGGTGGGTAAAAATTTAATACTTATTTAATATAATGAAAAATCATTAGAAGAAAAAGGTTATTAAAAAATTCAAATCAGATACCAGAATTTAAAAAGTTATCATTCTGTAGTTATCAGAGTTTAGAAAAATATCAGAAAAATTACTTCAAAATTTAGTTAGGGAACAAATAAATAAGTTAATCACGCTTGAAAAAAAGTTTGATTGCAATGAGGGAAAAAATATACAAATTTGCGGGCGTATTTATATAATTTAAAGAATCATAAGGAAATAAGAAGTTACTAAAAAATCCATTTACGTTTTGGTAGTTTTCAAAAATTCTTCATAATTCTGTTCCATGTTTGAAAAAAACTATTTGAAGAAAAGGTACATATTAGCTGCTTATATCTGAATGATTTTTATCAAATAAGCATATTTCATTTACATAATTGGAAAAATATATAAAGAGCTAACATTTTTGTAGTTTCCAAAAACTTTCAACAATTTTGTAGTTGAAAATTTATAGCAGTTGGCATCCCTATGTCTATCTTACATTAGAAAATCTAAACATTCATTAACTAAAATGGTGTTAAATATAAAGCAAAAGAGGTTTAAAACAAAGTGTAAATTAAAGTAATATCAAATAATAATATTAACTGGAATGATATGACAAATATGAATCAATTGGACCAATAAAATTAACTCATATACATATTTTGTTATAAATAAAGTACTATTTTGATATACAATCCAATGAATTAAATGTGTACATTTAGTCAAATATAATAGTATATACTATAATTTAAATAGTAATTAGATCTAATGCCCAAGTCTTCATCATGCTTATCATTAACACTAATTTTTAAAAAGTAATTGGTCACATTTCAATACATTCATCACACATGATATACAATTGACCCAATAGTAATTAAACATAAGTAATATTTGTTTATCAGAGAAAATTTTCTATCGAGAATATATAGTAATATAGTTGTTAATTTATTAGAATTAGAATTTATTAGAATATTTTGCATATAATGCCTATATTATTATAGCATAATTAAATTTTTAGAATTTATAGGCACTCTTTATTTGGATAAATAGAATTTTTTCCAAGAAAAATACTATGCAGTTTACAATAAGCACATATAGTTCTCATATTTTTATTTATTTATTAACATATATAAATCAGCAGACTCTTGATTGCTTTAAAAAACATTAAAATAATTATTTACGAATTTTATTGCTAAATATTCAATGAAAGAATCCTTAACTCAATACTTAAAAAACAAATTAGCTAGCAAAATTTATGAGAAATAGTAATATTAATACTTGTTCAGAATTCTTAAAACAAAAAGAAACAGAACCTTAGAATTAACATAGTACAGTCTACACTTTCTAGTATGACCCCCATTATAAAAATATAATGATCAACAAATAAAGTCGTTTTTGTATTTCCATAGTCATAATGTTATTTCAATGACCGATAGAACATCCGCACTGAACAGTTCAATGCAATATAGCCAATGAAATTTAGTAATTTGATTCAGAATAAGTTTTAAAGAATTATATGAACCATAATTTTCTTTCATCCTCCCACACAATAAATGAAAAACACCATGAAACCCCTTTTAATAAAGGTCCCTGAACTCTAAGACTACATCCAAGGTGGACATAATTTACGGTCATTCTAAATCTGTATAACTTTCTTTTCAAAGGATACAATTAAATGTATCGTTTCTTGTTTGAACATTGTAGTATTTAGTCTTTTTGTGAAGTGCCAGTCCACTCATGTGGTTTATTTTAGAGTTAAAACATGTGGTCCTCCCAGTTATCTTGACATATGTTATTTATTGGAAACAGCAGACCTGAACCAGCTTACTATGTTATTAAATTTTTAAGATAAGAAGTATTAATTTTAAAGATATTTAAATATTAATATATTAAAAAGTTATTACAAATTTTTCTGATAGCGACCAAATTTTTATTAAAGCTAAGCACTGCTTTGTAAAAATTGGTCAAATGTATATTTATGATATTTTTGTGTCTCTCAATATACAATACTTACAGTATAACTTCCAGTTTTAACTGGACCCCAAGGCTCTATCTATCGAATGTTGACTGTAAATTGATTTTTTTAATATCTTTATTTGTTATGTAACTGTGCAATACAGAACACTAGATTTTTTTCTTTAGTTCAACAAAATAACACAGTAAATCAAGGTAAATGTATAGTAATAAACTAATAAAAAATATTTGGCACCAAAAAATATTAAAGCGATAATATTCAGTTAAGCATGGACGGAGTTATATTTTTTTTAATAAAACTTTAAATGCCATCACAATAATAAGAAAAAAGCATATTAGTTTATAAGATATTAAAAAAAATGGTTAAACTAACAGAAAATTTCTGAATTTTTTTCTGAATCAATAGAATTTAACATATTGATTTTAAAATATTAAACAATTTAAAATTGCTTTAAATGCTTAGTGCTACTTTTTAATATTACCAAACAAGAAATGTGTAAAAGCCTCTAAAAAAGTGGGAAGAGAAAAGCTCAACTTTGTTTACTTTTCTTTACACACTTAGGGAAGTAGTGGGACATCAATACTTGTCAAAACAATCAAGAGTTTGCAGAACACATGTAAACAGCAGTTAATTTAGGGAAGAAAAAATAAAATAGTGTTTATCATCTTGATGGGCATGAACTAATTCCAGATTGTTCCCCAGTTGATGTACAAGTTGTACCACTGTGAGATGATTGCAGGCTTGACATTGAGCCCCTGAACAAAAATAAGAAGTATTAAAACTAAATATAAACTTTTTACAAACAAAATAAGATTATACACAATCCAAGTGGAAGAACAATGATAACATCATCCATTAAATTTTAGATCTAGCAACATTTACAGGGTTGCCACAGAAAAAAATGAACAAAATAGTTGCTTTTAGTAGCCTAAAGCATGAAAATAGTAGCCGAAGACTATGAAAATAGTTGCCTAAATAAGAAGAAAAAAAATTTCAATAATATGACTAAAATTTTATTAGATGACTTAATTGTCATACACCATGATCCTTTTGGTCAAGTTATGTAGCAAATATGATAATTTTTACATAAATGTTAGCGTTCTAGCAATAAATTTTTATAAATAAAAAAAAATAGTATATTTGCAGAAATTAAATACTTTTAATTTCTAGAATTCATTCAAAAAAATAGTTTTACATTAAAAATAAACATACGTTTGTTCTAAAAAATTTTCCTTTTTATCAACAATTTAGCAATTATATATATATTAATGTGTATATATTGTGAAAAGTGATAACTCAAATTCGAAATTCATGCATCTTATTATCGTATAAAAAATTGGGTTTTTTAAAAAATTATCCAGAATTTCGTAGCAATAACCATTGAAAAGGCGATTGAGAAATAAAATAGACTTACAATGGAATCTGAGTAAATTGAGAGCATTAAAAAGTGATGACACAAATTTGCAATTCAAAATTTTCAGCATATTTCACTTTTTTTTCTTTTTTAAAAAATCATTGTGTTTAGAAACTACCGTGGGTCGCAGGTTCTCAACCCAATTTATGCTAAAAAGCATCGCAGGAGTACAGAAAAGTCTCCAAATAGTCTCCTTTTCCCAAAAAATAGTTACTTTTATAGCCCTGTCAGGCAAAAAAAAGTTGCCATAGTCACCTCAGGTCAAAAATAGTTGCATTTTAGTAGCCTGTGGCAACCCTGCACTTAGAGCTTTCTAACTTCCTTTTACTTAATTAACTTGTTCAAGCATGTTGCCCTTATCCTAATTTGAACCTCCCGTTTTTCTCGTTGTTTGTAATGTATTTTCTTCTGCATATCTCTCTTTTATTCTGTATTTGGATACAGATGCCTTTTCCAGTATAAAAATTAAATTATAGTATGACTGTTTATGCGGTATTATTTTTTCATGATGTCTAACTTTTATCGTAACATACTTTTTATGGTAATTAAATATATATACTTAAATTATTTCAATTTAAATTAGGAACACTCCTATGTACCTTTTAACATAATATTAAATGCAAAAAAAGCAAACAAAAACATAATATTAAATGTTTAAGAATGAATACATAACAAACACTTTTTTGTTTAAATAATTTATACATTATTGACCATAGGCAATATGTCAAGTCCTAGTAACCGTGCTCTGTGACTAGAAAATTCATAAAATGTTTTACGTTTAACACATTTTGAAAAATTATGAGCCACTTATATTAGTTTTTATACACAAACAAACCAATCTAACTTGATTTAGGGCTCCAACTTTTACAAACTAAAAGAAAAAAATAATAGAAAAGGAAGAAAAAATAATTCAATTTTTATTTAATACTCTGAAATATTACAAAATTTTGATTTTTCTTGTTATTCTTACCTGTAGTCCTGAGATTTTAGCACCTCATAATAATACATAACTTTAGATTTATGGGTTGACAAAGGAAAGTCGAAAGAATGGTGGTGAATAGTAGTATCAACATATTTCCACTGTAAAATGTACGAACCCTCTACTCGAGTGACGTGAGAGCCCTAAAGCAACGACAAAAATATTTTAGAAATAATTAAGCCATGCAAAAATAATTAAAAGATAAAGAAGAAAAAAACCATATTCTTCAAAAATAGTAAAGTTTTTAAATTAATTGCAACAAAGTTTAAAATAAAACAAATAACAGCATTGACATTGGTAATAATAAGTCAATAGCAAATTTTTCAATTGCAATTTCTTAAATAAATAAAATTATATAACAGTGAAACCAAACCTGGACTGATTAGTGATTAGGAGTGGTTGCTTTAGAATACAACAAAAGTATTTCTTTGTCCACAGTTAGTAGAAGTTGTTTAGCATAAAAGTTTTTCTACTACTTTTACCAAGGAACTTCTAACTTAAAATCAAATTTACTACTTCTAGGGAGAAAAAAAATAATAATTTATTACTTTTTTGGTCCATTAGATAAAAATGGGACTGTCATTACTTTAAAATAAAAAAAAACATGGAGCAAAACTTTATGATTATTTTTAAGTCATTAGTTAATGAAATTTTTCTAGTAACACATGCATTTATTTACACATGTATTTATTTTACACATGTATTTATTTTACACATGTATTTTATTCAGGGTGGCCACTCAAAACAGATTTCAAATTTCCCTGATTTTTCCAGGTTTTCCAGGTAAAAATCTTAAAATTTCCAGGTTTGTGTTTTTTTCCTTTTTTCTTATAAAGTGTAGGATGTGTACAAGAAAAGTGTCTGCATTAAAAAATATCTTATTCAAAATGTCATTTTTTTAAACATATCTTGAAAAAAAAAATTTTTTTTTACAAGATATTTTTTTATTATTTTTTAATGTTCTGGTACAACATTAATTTTTAAAAAATTAAGACGTGGAGAAAATAATATGTTTAGCTTGCAGAATATATTGTTTTTATTGAATAATTTTAATTGTTTTTATTGAATTTAATGTGTTACTTTAAGTAGTATTTGCTCAAAGTGTACCTACAAAATGACAAAATCAGAATAACCAATAAAACCTTGTATAAGTATTGTTTAATATATTTTCATTAAGGAAAAGAAAACCGTTTCAGGTGATTATATATCAATAATTTTTAATAATTACAGTGGCTCCCAAAAGTGCTCACTCACTTATAACTTATATTGAAATAGGAAATAAAAATTCAATAATTAAAATGAATATTTCACAATGGGTATTTGATAATAAGATGTATAATCTATTCTTAGCAAAACTGCACGGAATATTTTAAAAACAAAGCAAAAGTTAATTTTTTAATCAAATAGTAACAAAAATGTTACCCCACGAAAGTCATCGTACATTTAAATGTTTTGGATCTCAGAATTAAAATTATCGTCAATTGCTTTTTTTATTTAATTATTTTTCATTTAATTTTTTATTTCTTTATTAGCAATTTAGTATCAAACCTATAATAGCAAAATTATATTTTAATTTTTGCTTGCTAACTCCGTAATATTTTATTTTATCATTTAAAAATGACTTGTGGTCGTAATAAAATAGACCAAATTTGATTATTTGTCTTCATAAGAGGTAAATCAGTAATGAATATGTTAAATTAGTTTACTGTATTCAATTGAACTGTGCAATATGTGATAAAATGCTTAAAAGAAGGACTTCATATCAGAGATTAAAATTATAAATTTTGTGGAAAAATTCATAAATTTGCAATTGAGTGCTGTAAAAGTTTCTGTAAAAATTTTAAAAAAATATTCTGCACGAATTTCACCTGAAAAAAAAAAAACTAGTTACACGTATTTTCAACCTTTAAAAGCTATTGTAGATGTTAAAAGAAACTCCACTAAATGTTAATTTAACGAAAAGTTAGATTTACTAATAGACTGAGTTTTTTCTTTAAAAGTGTATGATGACTTTTGTGGGATAAAGTTTTTGTCACTTTTTGATGATTGATTCCTTAAAAATAAACTTTTCCTTTGTTTTCAAAATATTTCATATTGTCATTTAAAATATTTCAGTTTTGTAAAGATTAGAACACATTTTTTATCCTTAAATATATATTCTGAAAGATTTATTTTAATTAATGGATAGTCTTATTTCATTGAAAGTCATAAGTGTATCAACACTTTTGTGAATCACTTTAATTACATTTCAATATAAAGCTGTACTGTATACTGTATTTCATCTTACCAGAGCTTTTTATGAAATTCACTGATCAAATTTTCCTTAAACCAATATCTCAAGTCAAATTTTTAAATAATGGTATTTTAAAATAACATTTTTATTTTAAGGGATTCAGCATAAAAAAATAAATGTCAGAATTGTAAAATTGTCTAATTTTCAGTTCTATACTCTATAGAAGAAAAAAAATAAAAAAAATTCCTTTAAATTTATACTTTTTTGATTTTTTTTTCCTTATTTGAAATTAAAACATTTAAAGAATTCCAATCTAAACACACAGTTTTTTAGTTTAGCATAGTTAATTGTTTTTGTTTGAACAACTGGAATATTGTACAGTGCAGAACTAAAACACTAAGTTTTGTTTTCCTTCTTCTGACTAAACACATATGAAGAAAAAAAATTCTATTTTATGTATATACATCATTTAATATGTTTCCTATATATTCCTTAGTCATTGTCAGCTTTTTTAGGTAAAAAGATGAATAGTTTTGAAATATCATCTCTGGAATGCAAGCAGCATTTACAAACTTTCCATATTGTAATAACTATACAATTCAAATTTTGAATCAAAAACTAATACTTACCAACAAAACCGTAAAATTTGATATTAATATATAGTTAGTTCTAAAAAAAAAACTTTTTTCAAAATAAAAATATACTATAAAAGGTTAAAATGAAATGTGTGATTGGTTGGTTTGCTGAGAAAAAATAATTTACAGATTTCTTTGAATGGGAGTTCAAAAGCTTTCAGAAAAAGAGTGCATTATAAAATCTATTGTTATTAAATTATAATCAACTAATTTTTAGAGAATTTAATAAAGTTGAAAATACAAAAACATTTTGTTAAAATAGAAAAAAATTACCGCTCCCAATTGCGAACAAACTTGAATCATTCTGTGTGAACACGGACAGAATTCAAAAACCGAATCCTAACCCCGTCTTCCACATCCACCATAATCTTTGCCCTTCCTAAATTGCACAGTCCCATAGTCTGCATAGAGATCAAAGACATTTGCTTAGCAACCATGGGAGAATTTTATGTTGTATTCTAGTTTAACAGGGTTATAATGGAGCAAATTTTGATGAAAGCAAAGTAAGTTGATGATATTTTAACTGTTTGGAGATACATTTCCGTCTAAAAAATGTGGGTATAATGGATGAAACAATTTAAATTAAGAAAATTAGCAAATAATTTAAATTAGTGAAATTAAAAAAATATATAAGAAAAAATTTCCAGCTTTTCTTTAAAATTTCCAGGTTTTCCAGGTTTTTATCCATATTTCCCTGATTTTTCCAGGTTTTTTCCAGTATAAAAAAAATTCCCTGATAATTCCAGGTTTTCAAGGTTTTCCAGGTGGGTGGCCACCCTGTTCATTAACACATGTATTGATTTTGCAGCATCTAACATATTTCAAACAATGTGTAATTTCTTTTTTTTTTTAATGAAAGACTTTTATGTGAAACAAAATGCATGTAAAGTCAGTGACACATAACTTCTCCTAATTCGCAAGTAGTATGTTTGATGGAATTTTTTATTTTTAATGTTTTATTTAAAAAGTTCACAGCATTTCTGCCTCAACTATTCTTCATACAGTTTCCACTGTAAGAAGAATTTTTCAAAAGCATTATTTTATTTTATTTCTTAACAAAATGACAACTTTCAAATATGAAAGCAAAACTGTTTCAAAATTTATCATTTATTTAATCAAAAATTAATAAATAAAATAAAACTTACACGTAATGGACGAAGTTAGTAATGTATATATGCAATTAACGCTTTTATTTACGAAAGAAAAAAGTCATTGAGCCCACAAGTATAAAAATTTTAATCTTTCTCATTCGTATACAAGTTTCAATTACCACTTTCAAAACAGTTTTTTCAAAGTGCGTACTGTTAAATTATGCAAGCTTAACAAATTATATAAGGTGTTTTGTAATGACTGCTCTAAGTATATATATTTTTAGAATCCTAGTCACAAGTCTATTTCAAAAAGTATACACATTAGGAGTGTCAAATCAAAAATGTTAATGAGTAACAACAGAAAACAGAGAGTAGAAACATCAAAACCTGTTTGACTATCAGAGGTTACAAAGAAGAGTTGAAAGAAGATTAATAGATATATCTAAGAGTTTCATTGAGAAATCAAACTGGATTTGTTATTTACATCCTTTACCGTGTTTAGAAAACATTTTAAAATGATTACTTTTCCTTTGCTTAAATTGCATCCCCAAATGTACATACATTTTATTTCATTATTTTAAACAAAGATTTTATGAATATACATAAGGGATGGTGATTAAGCAATATGCTACATATACATCTTTTCCTAAAAATATTCAAAAAATCTCAGAATATTTATAAATTTATTTTAAAAACACAAAAAAATAGAATTTTTACTAATAAGTTGATGATAGCTAATAACTATTTGCAGTAGAGATTATGATCACACATAGAAAATATTACAAAAAGAAGTAATAAAATTTTAGAAATAAGACTCTACATAAGTTAAGTAGAACTAAAATTATAAACAGTTAATTTATGTTTTTATATAATTGAGCAAAAGAAAAAAGTAATACTACCTGAACACTCTCTCCATCTTTGCAAGTTAACAAAGGCTCAACTATAAAATAATCTTTGCCAAGAGTCCAGTTTTTAGGAATAACACTTTGAACAGGATCGTCTAAATTGAGCATACCCAATGGCAAAGAAGCATGTCCACAACCTTGTATATCTTCATCGTTTACTTCTTTCTCAGGCAGGGGTAGGGGTTGCAGAGTTCGATAAACACCGAATGAAATGCCATCCTTCATAACATCAAAGTCCCAACAAATAACACTGCCTTTGTCTGTTATGGTGAGCACAACCTGGTTAAATACATAAAAGTCAGCTTTCTAAGTCTTCTTTGCTTTTTTATTGATAAACTCAGTTTTATTCGAAATTTGAAGGTTCAATAAAAATATTTATACACAAATTATTTTTTAGGTCATAAATAGTGCAGTAATTTTTGTTAGGAAAAATAGAGAACAAATTTTAAGAAGAAAAAAAAGTATTTTGTCACATAAATAATAATAATAATAAAAGAATTTCAAGACCACAAATAAATGAAAATTGCTTTTTTTCGATCATATTATAATACCACTTTATTATTATTTATGATGCTAAACATTAGCATAGTTCTAGGCTATGGTAATAAAGAAAATTCATTTCCAAGAGGGAAAAAAAGAAAACATGTTTAAAACTTTTGAAAAAATAAACACAATTTTTTTTTAAAATTAGTAAACTCAACTTAGATTTAACAATGAAAAAAAAAATAATTTTAGCATTAATATTTGATTAAGGCGTAATAAAAGATGATTCTATCTAAGCAGATTGGATGTAAATTAAAAGGATGCCAAAACCAGAATAGGCTCAACTGCATCAAAAAAATTTTAGGTAAGTGCGCAAAATTAAAAAAATTTTTTAAAAAAAAGTGAAATAAGAATTTAAAAAAAATTAAGTAAAAATTTTGTGCATATAAACATTAAAGACTAGTACGAAAATACTAGTACTTAACAAAGTACAAAAAAAGGAAGAAATATCACAAGGATATCTGACGGTTGTGAAATCTAAGTTGACATGAAGAAGGTAAATTCTATAAAATATTCTCATAAAAAATATTAAGAATATAAGTAGTAAATAGAAGAAAAAAATGCTGTTTAAGACAGAGTGTAGAATTAATAATTCAATAATTTTTAATCTTATTATTAAACTATTAAATTTTTTTTATTATACAATATATAAATATGGCAGACAAATAATTTTTTTATTAAAAATTGAAAATTGTTTTAGGAGATTAGTTATGGTTTATAAAAAGAATATAACTGTACGTATATGACACATAAATTTTATTTGAAAAGAAAAAACTTATACATGGGTAGCCAATATGTAGTTTCTGATAAATTATTCTATAATTAGGAAATAACTTTCTGTTGTATTATTATAAAAGCAATTTCTCTAAAATATTTTATGAGCTTCCATGCGTCTGATTTACTCACGCCTAATTTATGTGCATAAAATATTCACAAAAATAAAGAATTATCTCTAAATTGAGCATGTTTTGATTGAAGAAAATTTTATTTAAAAATGAATTGAAATATTGAAAGATCTTTGACACCTTCAATTAGTCCTGTCATATTTTGAGAAATTTATAATTTTGGTGCCTTTTAAATTTTTAGCAAAATTAGTTTGAAAGGCAATTAGGGAATTTCCTATGTCAAGAAATTTTTATAAAATTGTCGTTAGCTAGAGAGCAGGGATTGCATTTTGACTAGTCAAAGAATACAAGTTGTGCATCTCTACTTACAAACTTTTATAATTAAACAAAATTCCATAAAAATATTGCAACAATCATAGCAATTATTGTCTCTTGTACAAGTTATCAATTGCTCTTCATTACAATATTTAAAAAAATAAGGTGCTTACTTCATGGAATTGTCCTTTGGCTAAGCTTATAACTTGATACATGGAATCGTCAAACAGGTGATTGCCTTCAGCTTTCTCTTTTTCATATTCTTCCACTGACATGTAAAAAGACTTGGGCACTAGACCTCCTTCTGATATATTGGACTAAAATTACAAGAACAATTAGAATGTCTAACAAAAGAAACAAATACAAAGTCAGCTCTCACTTGTTAATTACAAAATTATTCCTATATTACTAAAATTATATTAACTAATATTTAAAATTACATCTATAATCTTTATATCAAAAATAATTATAATTTGCACATGCAACTACCTAAAGGTAGTTAAAAACTAAATTATGATAAAAGACATGATAAAATTTTATTTAATCTGACTTTTAATCCACTGACAAGTAAAAAGACTTGGGCACTAGACCTCCTTCTGATATATTGGACTAAAATTACAAGAACAATTAGAATGTCTAACAAAAGAAACACATGCTTTTAAGTCAGCTCTCACTTGTGAATTACAAAATTATTCCTATATTTCTAATATTATATTAACTAATATTTAAAATTACATCTATAATCTTTATATCAAAAATAATTATAATTTGCACATGCAACTACCTAAAGTTAGTTAAAAACTAAATTATGATAAAAGTCATGATAAAATTTTATTTAATCTGACTTTTAATCCACTGACAAGTAAAAAGACTTGGGCACTAGACCTCCTTCTGATATATTGGACTAAAATTACAAGAACAATTAGAATGTCTAATAAAAGAAACACATGCTTTTAAGTCAGCTCTCACTTGTGAATTACAAAATTATTCCTATATTTCTAATATTATAGTAACTTATATTTAAAATTACATCTATAATCTTTATATCAAAAATAATTATAATTTGCACATGGATTTAAATAGTTAAAAACTAAATTATGACATAAGATGTTAGAAAAGTTTCTAGAACAATATATTTTAGAATACAAATTTCTCAATGTAAGAAATTAACAAAATAATTAATGGCAATAATCGAACTAAGTCTGCACCTTTATTAAGATCATATATTAAATTTTTAAAAAAAACTATAGCAAAAAGAAAATTAAAAAAAATAAATAAGTTTATTTTACTTTAAGGTCACTGTAAACATTTTTAAAAGCTGTTTACAAAAAATTTCTTAACACATTCATTTTGAAGACTCTTTAAGCTGATTTGTTAAATTATTAATTTTGTGCCCTGGAACAGAATTATTCAAAGAAAGAATAAAAATACCAAATTTAAGAAAGAGAACCTTTTTGAGATTCTGAATTATAACAGCATTACACTGAAAAAGGAAAAAATAAGAATCTTAGTATAAGCTTAAAGATGAAAAACAAAGTCTGACAAGAAGCATTTGAATGAAACATTTTCATATAATTAAGGATCTACTGTACCTGCAATAATATAGTAAAAATAATTGCAATAACATACCTGACTGTCTCCAGCAAGGAAATCTGGAAGGTACTTTTTCTCAACATAATCCAGCAATCCACCTGGTCCTTGATAATTACTTCCTGCATAAAATATAAACTTAGAACGAGTTGTATCGTTAATGAAGGTGCTAACCAGAGTCCAAAGGATAGGGAAAACACGAGGAGCACGAACAATCAAAACTCTTCCCATGGTTTCAGGATAATTGGCTTCTACAATTTCAATAATATGTAAAAGTGCCTTGACACCAGGCCGCCACAAATGGCGCATGTTAAGGCCTTCTAAATCAAGCAAGCAAGTCCAGGCACTAAAAAGGATAAATAATAATTAAAAACTGCAAATAGACAACAACAAAAAAATTTAAAATTGTTTCTGAAAAGTAAGTAGTCTCAAAAAAAGCATTATTAGATATATGTAGCATAATACAATTTAACCCTTTCGACCCGACTGGGATATATACGTCCTAAAAACTAAACTTTATTCCTTTATGGATAAACAGATCCCAATTTTGCATGGTTTTTTATGTTTTCAGGACTTTTTAGGCATTAGGGAGTAAAAATATGACTAAAGTAACTTGGAAACACTTTCATATTCAAAATGGCGGACTTCTGTTTGCGAGCACGCCAGTCAATCTCATTTTAATTAACATATTTTCTGAATTTTCAGGTAAACACAACTATATTTTTACATTATTTTGAGTAAAATAGTTATGTTTGTTCTTATTAAGTAATAATTGTAGCTATTTATTATCAGATTTGAGAAATTTTAACACATTTTGTTTTGTAGGCTACATTGTTCCAATCGGACTTACCATTGGGACAACATATCCCAATCGTACTTACAAGAGGGACAATACATCCCATTAGTGTTAAAAATATTATAAGACAAAATTTTAGTTTTTGTTTTGATTATTTAATGACGACAAATTCTGGTAAGAATAAATAATTTGATGCATTTATATTATTTTAATTATTTATTCCCATGCAATATATATGTATTTTTACAATATTCAAGACAATTGGGGCACATTGTCCCAGGAGATTTCAGGGAAAATGGGAAAAGTGGATAACTTTAAACTTATAGTATACTTATTTTAATATGTCAGCATCAACATAAACTGCTTTTCATACTTAAATTTTAATGCTGCAAAAGTGGGGATGAAAGGGTTAATCAAGGATGAGATTTAAAGTACTACAATTGAAAAATGAGGGAAAAATTAAAAATCAAAGCAAAATTTTAAATTAATTAAAAATTGAATAAAATGCTAAAAGAAATTATAAAAGGAATACTATGTAAAGAAATCCATTTTTCATGTACTAAGCTATAATAGTAACATAAGATAAGGTTCGAAATAAATTGTCAAATCAAAATTAAATAAAAAACCATGTGATCCTACCACGTGATTTTCCGGCCAATAAAAATGCGCCGACAACAACAATGGAAAACGGTGTCAGACCATTATGATTTTATGTCATACAGAGAAACGCTTTCCTATAATACTAATTTTTTTTTTTTAAACAAAGTTGTTATATGGATTTGAATGATTGCTTTGAATTCTTAGAATTTTGTGCATTTACAATGCACCTAAATTAGTAGCGTGCGAAACCAGCTTGGTTTGCGAAGCAAACCATATAAGATTGCGTAGCAATTTTCAGGGGTTGGCGAGCATTAGCTAGCAGGGGGCGCAGCCCACTAGCAATGAAAAATTTGCATGCAGCTAATTATCAACCAATATTGAAATTAAATTTCTTAAAAGATAACTACAATTAGGTTATTCCTTAACTATTGAGGTATCATCCACATATTAATAAAATACCATTTTTTGTCATTCATTAAAATATTAATCATTTAAAAATTAGATAAAAACCTTACATAAACTTTTTATCAGTAAATATCTCCATCTAGCTAGGTAAAATGAAACTAAATTAAAATTGGATCAAAATTTAACATAAATTTAAGTGAATCTAAAAAAAAAAAAATCTTCATTTAAAATAAACCAAGAAACTTATTTAAAACACACATCATATTCTGTGAGGTTGGATACAAAGTGTAAAAAAGGAAGGAAAAAAAATAATAAAAAGAAAAGAATTGTTACAGATGGAGAAAATATTTCACAATCAGTTAATTAAGCAATTATATATTGTTCTATTAATAAATATACTTAATAGTAGTACAAAGAGAGAGAAGATAAAAGGAGCCCTAAAAGTGATTAAATGAAAATTAGTTCAATAATTATAGCAAAAAAATATAGTTTCTTAATAAAAATTAATAAACAAGATATTTTTTGACAAAAAGCTTTGATACGAATGATAGCTTTGATTTGATAAATGCCTGCCTGCAAATACCTCTACACTCTACTCTTTATACTTCTAGCTTTCTTGAATGAAATAGGGTTTTTTGAGGTGGAGAATTGAATTTAGTCTATATAAGAAAGTGAGGCATTATTTTCAATATATTTTTGTTGCTGAATAGAATTAGATAAATTTATCTGAACAAGTGAGAAATTGTTTCTGATGTACTTTTTTACTTTGAATAGAATGAGGCTATACACGAGAGAACAACACAAATAGTTTAAAAATTGCAAGAGTTTTCATCTATGAAAAGCATTATTTTTACCATGAAATAGTCAATTAATAATTAATTTTCCAAGAATTATTTTTATTCTGCTATCTATGGGCTATCCGAACATGTGAGGTACATTTTTCAATAAAAGTTTTTATACTGAATTAAGTGAGATAAATTTCAAATTAATAGGATAAGTAGCTTTGAAGTTATAAGGGTTTTCTTCGTAATAAGTGCAATTCTAAAATAATACTTTTTATGCAAAAAAATAATAATTTTTACTTTTTATATATGGATCCTTTTGATTTGTGTTTGATCTCATTCACTTAAATGAGAAAAATACACAGGACACTATACCGGACTTGTTCATATAGCTATGTAAGATGCCTAAATAAGTGCAAGTACAAAATTGCACTTCTTGTACATAAAATGCATATAACTTCTAAACTATTAGTTCAATTGTCTCCGGATCGATTTCATTTAATTCAACATGAAAAATCACATTGGAAAATATACCTTGCATATTCATATAGTTCCTGAAAAGCAATGTAAAGTGTACACTTAAGACAAGTCAAAATAAGTACTTTATATATATGAAAGTTCCTGCAATTTGGGAGCTATTTGTTCGATTGACTAATGAATAGTTTCATTTAATTCAACATAAAGAAATAGACAGTAGTAATATCTCGCTTGTTTAAATAGCAATATCAGACATGTAAACAGATACAAATAAAAAAAATTTACTTTTTTGTACATAAAACCCTCATTACTTTTAAACTATTTGTCTAATTGGTCTCATTCCATTCAGCATGAAAAAATAGATCCGAAAATATGCCTCACTTTCCTATCTAAAGATTTAGTTCTCTCAAATCACCCCCATTTCTTTGGGGTGGGGGAAAGGAAGTCATAGTAGGGAATTCACAGGTGTCATTTATAACAACATAAAAAAGCTTCCTGTGGAAAAAATAACTTGGATATTAATTTTTCCATCGAAAGAGTCGAATTTTACTGGACTAAATAAAACGAAGAGAAAAGTAACCACATCAGAGAAAAATAGTAAGTAGATTTATATGAGTTTTTAGAGCATTTTATTGAGAAAAAAAAAAGTCAAAGTCAATTTTACTAAAATATTTCATATTACTCAGCAAATATCAATTTATTACCTGACAGGTTTACCAGTAGCACGAGTAGCTTCTTCAACTCTTTTCAAACCTTCTTCACATACATGAAGGGTCTGAAAAAATAATATGTATGTGTGATAAGCAATATTATTTTAAAGACAAGTTCTAAGTAGAGTAGTATTGAATAATAATAAAAAGTGTGATAAAGGTATATAAAGTTAAAAAAAAAAGCTACTATCATTAATGATAAAAATGTACCTTTAAACTTTAGTAAAATATACAAACTCCCATTTATTTTAATTTATTAGCACTTGTGTAAACTAATGATTTGTCCATTTTTGTAATTCAAAAAATTATTTATAAATTAATCCAATTCTAAACATAAATACTTTACTTTGATTTGAGATACAATACAATACTTACAATAGTATTAAAAGTCTCATATTTAAAATAGGCACTCATAAATAAAAAGAAAAAAATGTAACTGTAATTTGTTCATCTGGGATAATAAAACTTATTGTAAAATTCTTTAAAACTATATTGCTAACTATATTTTAAAGTATATTAAATATATTTTAAAACTATATTTTAAAACTATATTTTAAATGCAATGTGTCAAAACATAAGAAGCCCATATTAAAGCAAGAGAATTAACAGCAATCTCATGCATTTATCTTACTAAAATCAAATCAAACTAGTTAAGTAATTTTAAAAAAAAAATTGCCTTGACATCTTTAATTCATTTAAAAAATTATTATTTGATTATGATCAGAAATTTTTTAAACACTTAATTATTTGATATGTAGCAATCGAAATTAAAGAAGAAGTCGAGTAACAATTTATAAAATCCAGTGTTTTAATTGGACAGTTTAAATTGGAAGGTAGTAGCTTAGGCAAATTATTTATACACAAAAATTAATTGTAACATTTATTTATATTTATAAGATGAACAAAAAAGTCCAGTTGTCTTTTTTAATTCTTTTCAAACATCTTTTTTAAAAATATTTGTTGAAAAAAATGATTTTAGTAACATTTTTTAAATATTCATTTTAATCTACTATGTTTACTTTTAAACTAAAATAAAGTACTATAAAATCATATATATATATATATATATATATATATATAAACACACACATATATATATATGTGTGAAAGGGTGGCAGTCCTGAGAGCAGAACAAACAGGCACAGGATTTTAAAAACAGCAAATTTATTTTATTTAATCATTATGTGATGATGAGAAGAGAGAGAGTGTGACAAAATCATCGTGCTGCTCAAATTAAAATTAGGGAAAATCTTGCAAAGAAAATCCTTAAAATGTCTCGTTTCAGGGAACAAGGAAAATCTTAGTAAATGTAAATGGTTTATTAAATAGGTCGTGTGATTCCCACAAAGAGCAAAGGGAAAATGTCTTACTTTTAATTAATGCATACTTAAACCAAAAATAGATTAAAGGACAGGATGTGAAATTAAAAGTGTGAGAAAGCGTTTCGTTTTGAATAAGAAAAGGATTTACAGAATAGGAATAACATAAAAAATTAGTTGAAGCTTTTTATGTTACATATATATATATATAAAAGCTCAAAAAAATTAAACACTTATCTTTTAGTATAATTAACTAAAATCAATAATATTACGAGATAAAATATTGAGATAATTAATTTCTTATGATAAACTTACCACTTTCATCAATCCTTCCTCTCCTATGGACTTGATAAATCCTTTGACATCCATTTGACCAAGTCTCAAAATATACATTGGTCGACCATCTAGAAAATAAATTATTAAATTAGAAGAATAATTTTAAAAAACTACCTCAATTATAAATAATAAACCAGATTATTAATGTATTTTGTTACAAGAAATAAGTTTGAAAAGAAATAAAATAAGCTAAATTGCTAAAGAATACCTTTATCGAAATGATGCCAACCACCAGGAAAAAACTGTTTAATCACTGGAGGGGGGTCATATGCTGATAATATTCTATCCACTTGATACTTTTTACGCCACACCAAGGAATGACACAGCATTTCACGCGCCTTCTCTAAATTATAATCTTGAGCTTTCAGAAACCGCATCAACGTTTGATCTGATGGAACCTAAAATATAAGTAGAAAAATTTTTTAAAAATTTTACTAACTTATAACACCAATGCATAAAATAGTGTTTAGTAAAACCTGAATAAGCAAAAAAAAAAAAATATATATATATATGATTACATTTACTGTAAACAAATCACAGATATATATTAAATGTTAAAATAGTAGGAATATATAAATGATAGAAAATCATTGATAAATATAATAACTAACCTTTCCTTGATGAGCTTCAGCAATCCATTTTTTCAACTGTACAAGACAGGATTCTTGAAAAGGTGTTAATTCTCCAAGACATCGCTTGATATATTCAGATTCAATTTTAAAGTTGGCTTCTGTAAACACAAAATCAAAATGGAATTTTTACAGAAATTATTTTACAATTGTAAAATACACTTTGCACAATTACAAATTAAAACAATTGAAAAATACACTTCACACAAAAAAGCAAGCACATTCTCATATATATGAAAGTGACCTTATGAGATGTTAAAACACAAATATGCATGAATTCTGGAATTAAGAAAATAGTATATTTTTAATGCATAAGAATCAAGAGTATCATGAAGGGTCAGTTTGAAGCTCAAATTTTTTAGAATAGTCCTTTTTTTTTCAGTTTGTTTTAATAAGGTTCGGATTTTTATGAAACAGGGATAAGATTGGCCAAAAGGCAAAAAAGCTGAATTTCCCCATGAGTAAATTTTACTTGTGTGCAATCGTTTAATAATAAATTCCTGACAATTTAAGATAACAAACAACAAAAATTGCTATTTTAGTTCTAAAAATTACATGATAATCAGCAACTGTTTAAATAATTATTTTTCATATCATAAGAATTTTGCATTTTATATCATAAATAACAGCAGCATTATTTCTTAAATTTCGGTGCTGAGTTAAAAAACTCTTTTTCCACAAAAAATTGAATAATTTTTTAAGTGATTGCTTTTGTTTGCTATATCTTTTTTTTGCTTAATTTGTTGTAAACGCTTTATATTTTACAAAACCAGCAAAAAATTCTTTAACAAGGTCAAATTTCTCATAATGCAGCTTGTGATTGAGGGGAAACAGATTGGAGATTAATTTAGTCGTTAGCCCATCTTCAAACATCTTTTCACAAATCCTATTTTTTCTTTCTTTACCTGCCTTTATCGCATTCTTCTTTGCAAGCACAGAATGTAAGTTTTGAATATGCCTATATATGCTAATAATTGTTGATAGAAAAACAGTCACATTTATAGTAACTAATTTTAAAAAACCTACTTCTTACAAGAATCGCGATAATTGATTTTAAACTCGTGTGAATATGAATCGTTACATAGGTTTTCAAAAATGCGTAAATATAAATAGTGATATTGGATTTTTAAATCTCGTAAATAAGAATCATATTGTAGTATATTCAAATCGCGTGAATAAGAATCGAAATGTTAGCAAATTTCGGGCTTGAGACTTTTAAAAAGCTTGTACTTGCAAAAGCTTGTAAAAGTACGAAAATACGAACTATCTGGCGGGCGGGTAAAAATGAGGAAAATCGTATCTTCTGTGCGTAAAAGAGGTGAAAATAGCTAAAATGTGGAAGGGTTGACAGATAGGTAGGTTGAATTTTCTGTTTATCTTTGAAAATCAGAAACAGGGTTTCCGCTACGGTAGCTTTTTTCGCAAAATGCGAAAAGACCCCTCAAAAATGCTAAAATTCAACAAAGCATTTTTGCATTTTTGCTAAAGGATTTTACCAAATTCCATTAAACAAAAATCAAGGAAATTCATAAAGTTATCAACAACTCGGTGGTTGTCTTTGGGGAATTCAGTTACAGCTCTGGATTGCAACTGGCAAGCTCTTGTTAGTGTTTTAATGGAAGACAAACGTCCTGTTGCTCAAGGGTTGTTAAAAAATATAACTACTTTTTTGTTTTTAGCAACCACTGCCATCATGAATGATATCATGTTCAACATTAATAAATTAAGCCTCATATTTCAAAAATCTAATTTAAATTTTGAATATGTTCAATCAAGTGTGAAGGCTTGTATTTCAAGTTTAGAAGAAATAAAAAATGGCACCGGCACTCATTATATGAGTTTTTTAGATGATGTGCCTAAGAAGGAAAGTGAAAAATTTGAGTTTCAGGGCCATATAATTTTAGATGGACTGAAACAGAGGGAAAGATTCCGTAATTTGATGCACAATTTTTTAAACTGTATCATTGAAAATATTACTGATAGATTGGGAGATTTGGATAAAATCGAAATGTTCAATATATTTATACCTAGCAGGATGCCCCATAGTTCGGAAGAATTACAGCATTATGGTGTAAAGGAAATCCGTTGCATTTTCAATTTGTTTTCGGAATCTCCCAGAAAAGATTTTCAGTTTACAGAAACTGAATTACTTTGTGAATGGGGATTATTTAAACACATCTTAATGCAACGATGTAAAAACATGTCATTTAATGAATTACTTTTATTTTTATATACCAATGATGTGTCTGAACAGTACCCATTAATAACTTCTGTTATAGAGTATTGTGCAACAATACCAATGCACACTGTTGACTGTGAAAGGGGCTTTAGCTGCCTTAATTTGATTAAAACTAATATTCGAAACAGGTTGTTAATCAACCATGTAAACAATTTGTTAATGATTAATATTGAGGGCCCTGAAAGTGCATTTAACTTTCAAGAAGCATTTGTAAAATGGGCAAACATGAAAGAAAGGAAGATTGTTAATTATAAACCAAAATGTTTTGATAAATAATAAATGTGTTTTTTTGTTTGTTATAGGTATTCTTTTTGATATTCTAGTACATTAAGCTATTCTTTGTCAGATAACTTACAGTACTTGTTTGATATAAAGTAATTTTATAAGCCTAATGGCATTTTAGCATTTTGCTAAAACTTTTTTTCAGATTTTAGCTTTTTTGCTAATGAATTTTTAGACTCAGCTTAAACCCTGATCAGAAATAAATATAATTATTTTATTTCAATGGCTAAATTTTTCAAAAAAGCGAAATCTTTATTTAATTTTTTTTTTTTTAAAAAAAGAGAAATTTTTAGATCATCGCAGTTTTTGATAAAAAGGCGGATACTCGAGACACAAAGCAGAAATCCGCTAAAAAGCGGAAAAATCTCCCCCCTGATGAAAGGAATTTAAATTGATCTAATTTCATTCTTGATTGTCCCCTAGTTAATAAATAAAGATTTTTTTAAAAATTTCTTTAGACATTTGCAACATCATTAAATTTCTTTTTTCTGAGTTGGGTTAAAAATAGCAAGGATACAATGTGAAACATTACTGCAAAAAACTGGCAAACGAGAAAAAGTAAAACAGTGAAAAATAAAACATATAACATAACTTTAGTTTAGTATAAATAAATTAAGAAACAATTTTCATAGATTTAAATTAAGAAAAACCCAATTCACTTTGATTGAGGAAAAAAACCTAATTATGTCTGAAAAATTAAATTAAAGAAGAGTGACAAAGAGAAAAAAGTGAAATATATTTAACCTTATTGATTAATTTACACATAAAAACACAATTATATTTAAAGATTGTTAAATAATTATCCTCAAACATACATAAATAGGAATACAATTCAAGAGAATAATAACCTGCAGTTTGGTGAGCTTCTGGGGATAATGCAACAGTTGTAGAGACATGTGATTGAGTAAGACTATTATTTCTAGATGTGTTGTTTACAGCACAAGCACCTTCAGTTTCTGTTATTTCAACAGCAGGAGCACCTTCTTTATCTTTAAAGGGTGGAATATAGGTTACTCCCTCCTTCTCTAGTTCATCGATGAAATATTCTATGATTTCTTTTCCCTTAAAATTACATAAAAAAAGAGATATGTATAAAAAATTTACAAGCATCAAACAACTTTTTTAAAAGAGAAAATTGTACAATTTATTTTATGCACTAAATAATAAATTTTACAAAAATAGAAGTTCCAGTTTCCCGATTGCAATGTACTTTTAGAAAAATCATAAGAAATGAAAAATAAACTAATTTTTCTGCAAGAATACAGCTGAATAATTAATTTAAAACATTTAAAGCATAAACTACCACTTTTATGTTATAGCTACCTTTTTTATGTTAAGAGAATATTGCTTCATAGCTAATTTTTCTACAGCATTTTCAAAGCCAAAAAAAGACTTCACATCTAAGCTTGCTGATTGTTCAAAACAAGTCCAATCAGAATCCTCAGGATGAACCTAAGTAGGAAAAAAAAAGCGTAAAATAATATTTTATGTGTTTAATTTGATTTTGTAGTAAACACACACTTAAAAAGAAAAACTAATTTGCTATACAATTTACTGATATTAAAAAATATATATATTAAAGAACTCTAAAACATAATTAATTTTTTAAAGATAAATACTACAGTAAAATTATTTAAATTTTCTAAATTGCTTTTTTAAGCGAATACTTTCAAAGATAAAATTATTTTTCTCTTCTACATTTTATTAATAAAAATTGGCTTCCTATAGTGAAATGAACAGCCTAAAATAAAGAATTAATATGTTATTATTATTCCATACAATACTTGATCAACATAGAAAAACTTTAATAAATAGATTGATATTAAATTTGAAAAAAAAATTTTTTTTAAACTTGTAAATATTTTATTTGCAGAATATAAACATAAATATTCTACAAATTCCCCCAAACAGATAAAAACAATTTTTTATGGTAGTAATCAAGCATGTTTTGTCAGCATAGAAATTTTAATGATAAATAACCATTAAAATTTGCATCTAAGCGATTTCAGTAGAAATATAAAAGCAAAAAAGACATGTGTCAAATAATTTTGTGATTTTGGGAATTAATACTAATTTTTTATAAATATACATCTACTGAACACTTTTTAATTAACCCATTAATACCTTATATCCTTTTTAAGTGCAATTCTAAACATACATCACATGCCAACGAAAAAAAATTTAATATCCATTTGATTTAATTTAGTTATTTTGTTCTACATCTTTCATTTATAAAAACTTTTGTTATAAGTTCAAATGATAAGGACTCCCTTTTTATATGCTAAGCTCAAAAGTAATTTTTTACTATGTCCAGAAGAAAAGTATTGAAATTGTCTAGTTATTAATTTGTTCATGCATTTGAATTCAGTAAATATTTTAGTAAACAAATTTGAAGGAAAAATTTTTTTAAGTCAAATATTGAATAATTTTTGATTTTGTCAGTTTTTTTTTTTTATGTTTCCGTGTATCCTAGAATTAATAAGTATCATTATTTCATTTATTTAGTTCAAAAAATACAGCAAATTAAAATTTAAGAAAAATATTATATTTTACACGATATTTAATGTTAATATAAAAAAATTAAACAAAAACTTCAACTAGGGCATTAAATAAAAAGCAAAAGGAATAATTGGATAAATCAATTACGAATTCAAATAAAAAAAAACAATCAAATTATATTAGAATATTACTACAAAATGTACTCAATAGTTCAAATAATATTATGAAATAATTTTCTGCTAAATTTCATCATATGCTACAGATAAAAATGCTTTTAAGAATGAATTATATTTAAAATAATCTTTCAATTCACAATATTGAACAAAATCATTCATATTATCTTTAATGCATCCTAGTTCTTCAATAAATTCTATGAGAGCATATGAAAATAACATACTATTATAACATGATAGCTTAAAATATGTTTATCTGCTTAAATAATTTAATCTTATTTAAAGGAAAAAAGGCAAACAAAAAATACAATTTAATGCAAATATTCTAAAATAATAACACAAAGCAGACAAAATTAATATTTTGTCAAACATTTACAAAATTTCCAAACTTTAGAAGTAATAATACTGAAGAATAAAAACTAAAGCGTGAAAATTATATCAAATTCAGCTCTACATTAATGTCCTCAACTAAACTTAAATAACAGAATAAATAATGAAAAAAAAAACTTTAACAAAGTTGACATTATGTTTATTCCTGTAAAAGGAAAGAAGACAAACTAAATTAAATTAACAATGTAATTTATAAATTTATTAATACATTATTAGAAAAAAAGGTAAAAAACCACTTACAGAATATAGGCAAGTTTCATTAATTACAACTCTATTAGCAAAACTTTCATTATACGCCTCAATTTTCAATGTTCTTGCACGCCGATCAAGAGTATTCTTTTGGATAAAATACACAACATCTACTCCAATTATCTAAAAATAGAAAAGAAATCATACTTAGTTTAAACTTAAGTCTATAAATATTATTACAGTTGCAAATATTAAACAATTTCTCTTGAGATCAAAATATTTTTCTAACGACAACTATACCTTATATTCAATTATAAATACAAAACCTTTATATAGAAGAAGAATATGACTTGAGTAAAAAAGATTTAAATACAATCTCAAAATATTGCATAGCAGAAAAAGAAATCTTGACAAATAAAAAAGAAGTTAAAAAACTTTCTTATAGACATACAGCAAAAACACTTGTACAAAAGTTTAAGAACCCAAAACTACCATACTAACGTAATAAAATCTAATAGATTAAATAATATGTAAGTAAAATGCTATGTAATTATATAACACACAGGTAATACTCAAAATCTATAAAAATTTTAACAAATATCTATTAATCAAAATAACTTATAATTAAAACTTTATGACTAGTTAATAACAAAAATTATACTTTCTGCACCTTAAAAAAGGAAAAATATAGTAAAATATGCCAATGTGGGATATATTCTTGAATGCTTAATCAAATTTTACTGTGTAGATTATTAATCACAACCAAGAGTTTTAAGTACAAACATTTATTTAGAAAATAATTTTCCTTTTCTTAAATATTTTCTAAAATTTAGAAGATTTTGACTAAAAGATTAAAATAATTTATTGTGCAATAAAAATTCAAAATTAAGAGAAAATTTTACATTTAAGTATTTAAGGGAAAATTATGCCTATTTTTAATTTTAACTGTATGCTGACTACACAATTGATTTTAGAAAATAATTCTTGATATCATACATCATTCTGAAAATACTCTTAAGAGCAGATTTATATGATCCAGTCATCTGATAGGTTTACACACTGTATACTTATTACTTTTGGAATTTTTTGGTATCATCAATCAGTGTTTTCATCATAGAAAAAAAAGGGGTGAGAATTTCTCACCCTTTCTCAAAAACAGGGTGAGATTTCAAAAAGTTAAGTGAGATTTCTAAAAACTAAAAAAACACAAAAACTCTTGAAAAAAAATCATTTCTTTAATTATAATACAATTTTAACGTCTTCTATTTTTTAAAGCATTGAATATTTTTGGTGCATCATCATAGAAGATTTTGCCTTTACAAGGTATTTGTCCATCTTACATAAGTGCATAAAAAATTTGAACGTCTTACATGAAGAAACCTTACCTACGGTAAACACGTGGTTGCAGAGAAATGTGTTCTGAAAGGGGTTCCGTGGTTGTGTTCTGTTGTTCGAAAAGTTTCTGAACAATACTGGTAAATAGGGAGGCTAGATAATGGGGCAGATGTTGAAAATAATGTAAGATCCAGGAAGAAAAGTTAAACGGATTTTATTCTAAATGGCGTAATTCGAAGTTTTTTTCAAAATGCGAGAAATTGGCGAATTTTGAAATTGATTTATAGAATGCACGAATTTCTCGTGGTAATAATTTTTTATTGTGAGAAAAGAAAAAAATATGCGAGATTCTCGCGCTGTAGTGAAAACACTGCATCAATATATATAAAAAGTTTACATGCAGCAAGATTATTTTAAACTGTTTTTTTAATTAAATTTACAAAAAATTTGCATAAAAAAATTCTTTATTTGACTTAATGTTAAGTTAGAAAAATATTATTGCTAGGAAAAAAAAAATATTTATTACATAGTCACATTTGAAAATATCTTAAATTTCTTATAAGGAAATTATGGCTTTTTTTAATCAAAAACATTCTGTTTAATACTTAGGAAATGTGGCTTATCATTATGTCGCGACTAACTCTTCAATTATAGAAAGAAAAAGAATTATAATGGCACAATGTTAGAGTAAAGCTTGCTGCACAAGTGAAAGCTTCTACAATATGACATAAAACGAGCAAAAGTAAGGTATACAACTGACACAGGGAAGTTAGTGAAAAAACAACTACTTTTTTTAAAAGATAAGGAGCTTCAACATTAAGACGACAGCGACGTTCTATAATATAGACAGCACCATCCTCGCTGTTGTACTCATATGTTGTATCACTACCAAGGAAGACTGGTATCATTTTGCAAGTTGGAAAGCGTTTTTCATAAGCCTGGAAATAAAAATACACAAACATTATAACAAAATAAAATTCTAAATATATATTAAATTAGATGAATAGGTTTTTTTTATTATTATTACTGCAGAACAATTTTGAAATGTACATAATAATTATTTTTGTGTAATTGGGAGCAGTGTTTCTCAGTTTACTTTTACAGTCAGACATACTTTTATAGTAGTAATAATTTTCACTTATTTAATTTTGTAAAATAAAAAGAACTTTTTACAATGTGTTGCAAATAAATTATCAATGATGTAAATGTCCAATAAAATCACACTAATGTCCCCTTTTACTAACAAAAAAAAACTCATTTAAAAAAATAAATAAATAAATAAATCCAAACAAAATAGACGAAATATTTTTTGAATGGATATCAGAACAAATGTAATGGCCAAATTATTTAATAAAAGTTGCTTATTTTAAAACATCTAAGAAGAATAGATGTTTTAAAGAGTTAGATGAATGAAGAAGTTGGCAAAAATAATCACATTATTTCCTGTAAACTGAATATGAAAAATTTGCCAGTAAATAGTTTCTAAAGATAAATTATTTCATTTATGAAAATATCATAGATCCTGTAAACTGAATATGAAAAATTTGCCAATAAACAGTTTCTAAAGATAAATTATTTCACTTATGAAAATATCTTAGAACCTGTAAACAGAATATGAAAAATTTGCCAATAAATAGTTTCTAAAGATAAGATATTTCACTTATGAAAATATCCTAGAAGTGAAAACATTTATTAAGAGAAAATGTCATACAGTTTAGAAGTCGATGATCTGTATACCTTAATTTTAAAAGCAAGTCAGAAAAAGTAAAATATTTTGAGATTTCTTTCCTTCCCTCCACCACAAATATTGCAGTTAATCATAATAAATCTGTTTATGGGCACTACAATACATTTTCTTGTCTTGTTGTGTACCAAAGACAGCTAACACACAACCTGTTTCTTCTTTTTTTGGAAGAAAAAAAAAGAACAAGTTTCCTGAGAAATTTTGTTTATGGGAGTAGATATTGAAGTAAGAATTGAGAATAGATGCGTAACAAATCTACTTCTAAAAATTTAGTTCTTCTGGACTTGTTGGAGAAATAATAATTTTTTTTTTGTTCTTCTAATTAACCTTTTTGAATGGATACAACTAAATTGCTATTGTAGCAGCTATAAGTAAAGTGTTAAGTGAAAATAGATAAAAGAAAAATTATATATATAATAAATATAACTAGCATTATCTGAAAAATGATGCCAGTGGGACTCTCCAAACAGTTTCAACTGATAGTAATTTTTCAACCCTTTACAAATGACAGTGGTTTTATGATTTCAGAGAAGTACACTGGTACTGCTTTAGAAGGGGGGGGGGAGAAACAATAATAACACAAAATAAAATATCATAACAACAAAACTTGAAATTTAAAAAAATAGTAGTGCAAGAATAATATACTTACAGCCATAACAAGCTCAAAAGGATATTTATATATCCTAATAGGAGATTGATATTTTTGGACCATCTTGAAAAATCAAACTGTCTTGCAAAATTAAATTAAGAAAAAATATTTTTTAAGCAGTTAGATTATTGCTCATCAAGAAAAAATATACAAAAGTTGAAGCATTATGTATATTTAAAACAAGGCCAAGCAACTAAAAGATGAACATTGGTGGAAGCCATTAGTTATTGCAGGTCAAGGTATCAACCTGTAATAAAAAAAATATATGTATTGAATAAAACATTTTAATCATACAAAAGTTGATTTCATTACTGTTTAAGGAAATAAGAAATAAAGAAACTTTAAAGAGTTTATGATACATCATAAATAAATTTAGTAAATTAATTTAATTCCTAAATTTATTTTTGTTTTTATAGGCACTTACCAAAAATTAAGTATTAATGAATTACCCTACTCTGACAAATCATTAGGCTACCAGGGACAACCCAGCATCAATTAGCTGGCCTATGCCAGCCATGTGTGGGGAGTGGGGCAAGCCTTGAGGGGTCAAGTAGGGATTCTAAGAAATGTTGTTTCCTGTTTCAGTTGCATTGTTTTTCTTTTACACTTTTCCGAAGAAAAAAAAAACGGCATCACAATATCATGAATAGTTTTTAATTTTAAATTTCTTTAAGAAGAGTTAATAAGTTTTTTACAAAAAATATTTTAAACTTGAAACACTTCCCATTACAAAATTCTTAAAAAAAAATAAAAAATTCTTAACAAAATTACAACGTTTTAGAGCATTATAATTTTCAATGGGCCCTAAAAATTACTCCCTTCAATTAACCCATTCGAGGAGTCTCCTGACCAGCGTGTAGGCATGTGCCATTTTACATGCAAAAAGGTAGACCCCCTGCGGAGTTCTGGTCAACGTCATGTGGCTGTCGCGTGGGACTAATTGATGCTCATGGTAGCCTTACTGGTTTTGCTATTTTTAACTCACTAAAATTAGAAACAATATTCAATTACTCATAAATATTAAGAAGAGGTTTACTGTGAACATTAACCTGTGAGTTAGTAGATCCAACATTTACTAATGATATTATGCTTAATAATTTGTGGTAGAAACTGTTGTAATAAGTTTTTTTACAGCTCCCTGAAAGAAAATAGTAGGTACTAAAGGAATATATAAAAAGGTTTACTTGAAATTAGGTACTAATAAAACCTATTAAGACATCAGTTTGAATCAAACTTTTGTTTTACTTAGTTTCTACAAAAACTTGGTGACTAACTTGCATGACAGCTGAGCTAGGAAAAAACTAAAATGCTGGAAAGATCCATTGCTTTATAATTAAAGAAATTAAATAGACACTCAAAATAACCCTATATGCACAAAAAGAGATATGATTTTAGTATGCTTCATTTCAGGAATAAGTAAAGTTTAAAAGGACTCATATTGTTTAAACATTATTCATGCAAGCAATAAGAAATAGCAGATATGTTTTATAAAATATATAGCTATATTTTAACTGAAGTTCTGACATATGTCAGAATGCTAAATCTAAATTTCTAAACACAAATGTCTAAAATAAAATAAAAATGCATTACAGAATAATAAAAAAATACGAGAAGCATTTTTTGTTCTTAGTAACACAAAAAAAGTAAGTATTTTAAGCTAAGGAAATTAGTGCCAAATTGACGAGCTAATCTTTTCCCAAACATAAATACATTCTACATATAAATTCCTTCAAATAAAGACCCAGACAAAACGAAAATTCTTAAATTATTTTTAATTTTCATTTAAAAAACAAAGTCATATTCTATCAAACGAATGAAGTATTTTTCCGATAATTTTATAATTATAAAATATAATAAAGATGTAAAATAAGAGAAATATTATGCCTTATTTACATTCTTTTTTTAAACATCAAAGTAATTAACACTTACACTTGATAATTTTATTCAAAATATGCAAGACGCTATGACAAGTTTCAAACTCATTGATTTATTTCTCTTTTAATTTATCACGTTCAATCATGGATTAAAAATCATGAACTACAAAAAAAATTAAAAGAAGATCTTAAAAAAAAAAAAATTATCTTTAAAAATAATCTATCAACAATTAAGTGGAACAATAACTATGGTAGATGAAAAATGTAGATGAGATGTACGAAAGATAATTAATACCCTTATATATTAATCGATGAACTACTACTGATCAATGTAAAGTTATAAACAACATGAACTATGTAATTAAAATTATTTTTCGTTAATATTAACATCACAAACATATGGTTCATGCTTAACATCGAAAATCAGCTGTCAAGATAATTGTTTATTACCATACTAAATTCAGATGTGGCATTTAGAGTTTCCTAAAGATAATTTAAGCAATTTTTTTTAAAAATAAAACAAAACTAACTCTTTCAATTATTGATTAAGGAAATAAAAATACATTAATTCAGAATAAAGAGATACCTTTTCCTTATTTTCAATCGCCATTGCATTGAATGAAAGAAGAGGAGACTCTATTTAGGTTTTTTCTTTTCTGTTTTTTGTTTCTTATTGCTAAATGATGCCATTTTAAAAACAAAACTATATATAATATTAAAAACTCCCCGAAAAGGATTAATATTTATCATTTATTGGTTCTTATTTAATTTCAAATATATTTAAAATCCATTCTAATCTTAATTGTTGTTTTGATTGAGTTCAGTAATGGCTGTTGCTTGGCTGACCGCCTTTTTAATAAATAGAGGCATTTGATTGGTCGATTACATCATCGTTTTCATCGTTATCGCTTAATCGTTTTGTCAGGTTTACTAGAATGGCGCTTTTAGCATTTTTGCTTGGCAGAATTTTAATAACGCGCATGCTCAGTTTGATAATTTATTTAAACCAATCGAAGTACTTCGTAGACAATGAATATAGATGCTTGTATCCTCTCCTTTGCTTGCGTATACTCAAACAAAGACATAAAGATGGAAAGATCAATCACTGTACCAAACAGATGTCAGGGTGAACTTTGACATTGGACACATCACTGGTCTCTATTTTTTTCATTTGATTTTCATAAATTGTTATGATAAATAATAACATTCTGTCTCTGTGCCAGAAAAATCTGAACACATTTTTTTTAAAGATTTATAATTTGTAAATTTTAAATGAAAAAATTAATGTATTTTAAAAAATTGATTTTTATATTGTTCTGAAATTCAAATACTTGAAATAAATATTAAAAAAACAATTTAAGTGCTTATTAAAAATATATAAAAAATATAAAAGTAACTAAAAAATAAATAAAATAATTAAAATAAAATAGAACAGTTTTATAAGCAATCTAAGCTGCCCAAAGCATTTAATTTCATGAAGAACAATAAATTGGAAAATGTTAATAATTGCTGAGATAGAGTCTCATAATTG